TGTCTCCCCAGCCCCCTTGTGATATGTAGGGTATTGGACAGGACATTTCTGGGGTTGTGAACTCTGTGGATTCACCTGCAAAGTTTTGGGGAAGCTGTTGGTTAATTTTTACCCTGCTTCATTGCTTAATTTTCGTTTCCTTGCAGGTGATGTTTCCAGCATCTCAGGGTCCGATTCAGAGAGCTCTGATGCAAGCAGTGAGTCAGAGTCGCTGCCCTCTGCCAGCGACAGCCCCAGGACCCCCCCGGCCCCCCGTTCCCACAAGGTGCTGCTCCGCAATGCAAAGGGACAGCTCATCTCTGCCTACCGCTGCGTGCTGGGCACTGGGAAGGCAAGTCACAGCCCAGCTTCTTGGGAGGGAGACTCCAGAGAGGATGAGGGGGCAGACATCTAGGGTGTAGACATCTGTCTGACAGTTCCCCATGTTCCGTGATGGGCAGGGTGGTCTCTGGTGCCAGGTCAGAGCCCCAGGCTTGCTGGTAGCTTCTTTTTTTTTGCTCTGGGGGGCTGCCAGAAACATGCTTTTGGTGCCAGCAGAGAGGCTGGCCTCTCTCCTGAGGGACAGCAAAAGGTAATGAGGTGATCCCATAGGTGCTAGCGAGCGTGTCTGTGTATCAGGGTGGCATCGAGGAGCCAGTGGAGCTGACAGCGTCACTGCAGAGCCTTGGTGCGAGCACCTGCTGGGTTGTGCTGATGATGGGCGGCGGTCACTTCGCAGGAGCTGTGTTCCGGGGGTGAGTACAGGGGGACAGAGCTGGGGTTGCCCCTCTGGGCACGGTCAAAGTTGGGCATAGGATGGCCATCCCTTCCCTACTTCTCCATCGCAGTGCTTACCACACCCTGGCCACCCACAGCTCCTAGTCTTTGCTTGAGAATTGGCTAAGCCCATTTATGGCGCAAGAGAATTTTATTAACCTTTAAGGCCCCAGGGGCAAACTACAAAGCCCTCCAGGGTCCCAGGAGCATCAGCTCACCTCCTCTCCATGCATGGGGCTCTGTTGCTTATGCCTGCCTCTCTCCGCAGCCCACAAATGCAGGAGCACAAGACTTTCCACCGCTACACGGTGCGAGCCCGGCGGGGCACAGCCCAGGGTCTGCGGGACGCCCAGACCCCAGGGTTGGCACCCCGGTCGGCCGGAGCCGCCCTGCGGCGTTACAATGAAGCTGCGCTGCTCAGGGTGAGGATGCAGCACAGCACTGGGCTCTCGGCGGGGAGGCACGGTTGTGGGGGCTCCCTGAGGTGCTTCCACACCACTGCTGGAGGGCATGGGTGGGGTGTGAGCCCTGGAAGGGGGTCAGGGCCCAATTGATGCTGCTCTGTTCTGGGTCTGTCCCTGCTCCAGAGCTAGGTGTGCCCATGCAGTGTGCTCGGGACCCCATAGTGCCTCCCCTTCCTCCCCAGGATATTCAGGAGCTGCTGGCAGACTGGGCACAGCACCTGCATGAAGCCCAACGCATCTTCCTCCGGGCTCCTCGTCACAACTGTGCGCTGCTCTTTGGTGGCAGGAACCCACCCCTCACCCGGGGTGACCCTCGCATCTGCCACATTCCCCTCAGCACCCGCAGGGCCACCCTGCGAGAGGTGCTGCGAGTCCATACCGTCCTGGCCAGCCTGCAGGTGTATGGTGAGTCGGCCAGCCCTGGTGCCAGGTGGGGTGACGTGGTCCCTTGTGCATTAGGAGATGCTGCCCTATGGGATCAAGGTGCTAGCTCTCCAGCCCTCAATCCCTGGAGACATGGGGTGCTCCCTGTCCTCAGGGAATGACAGGAGTGCCCTTGCTGCCCAGGGAAGGACACGCCACTGGAGGACATCGTTGGGTCCCCTCGGAAGGGCTGGCAGAAGAGGCGGCAGAAAGCAGAGGTGGATCCCCCACAGGAGGACACAAATGGTGAGTTGAGCCATGGAGGGAGACGTGACTTGCAGCAAGCAGAGGGGTCTGGTGTTTTGGCATGGGACCAGATTTGTAGCCCTGTGACAGGGCCTGGCACCAGCGTGGGGATCTGCAGAGTGTGGCCTTGTGCAGAGCTGAAGGGCAGGGTGTGCTTGGCTGAGAGCCCCAAGTGATTCGTGCTGTGTGGGGCCTCAGCCCCTGTCTTATCACCCCCCTCAGCCCCAGAGGAAGAGGGGGAAGAGGAGGAGGAAAGCCCTGCAGGGGAACTGGAGACTGTGGAAGTGACACTGGGGACCTTGGACCTTCGGGAGTTTGAAGTGATGCCCAAGCGAAACCGCAAAAGGAGGAAGAAGAGAGACAAGAAGGTGGAGAAAGGTGATGGGGGAAGAACTGGCCGGGGGCAGTGTAGGAAGGCATTGGGATAGGGGCTGCCATCACTGGGGTGTGGGGTTGCCTTGGCCCTCTTCTTCACCATGTGCTCCCTGTGCAGGGTCCTGTGGCGAAGAGAAAGCATGTTGTGGTACCCAGTGTGCGCAGCCTGGCCTGGAGCTGGTGACAGAGGTGCAGGGGGAGGTTGGGGCTGAGCCCCTTCCCTGGGGCGATGGAGGTAAGCAGGGTTGGGAGATGGGCTGGGTGGATGCCTGCCCCATTTGCTGGTGGCTTTGCAGTGGTGTGAGGAGCATGTTGTCGTGCAGGTGCCCAGAGCAGCTGGGTGTGGGATGGCTGTAGTGCAGCCACATGTCCTCCAGTGAGCCATGTGTTCAGAGCAGAAGCTCTGAACCTGGGCCCAGGCAGCATCTGGCCAATCCTGGTGTGTTGGGGGGGATTGGGGTGGGTCTCACCTCAGGAGAGGGCTCAGCTGTGGCCAGCAGTGCCCAGCAATGCCATGGCACATTGTCACAGACTCTGAAGGTGATGGAGATCCTGCAGTGCTCATATCCAGCAAGCAAGACAATGCTTTAACTGTGCCGTGTGTGTTTCCTAGTCAGACCAGAGCATTGCTCTGCTCAGGGAGCCATCAGACTGCCTTCCTGTTCTCCCCTCATAGGAGACCCTCAGACCCAGCTCCGTGATGCCCTGTTCACCGCCTGCAAAACAGGGGATGTGGGGACTCTGCAGCACCTCCTGGGCATGCCAGAGAGTGGGGGCCTTCCAAGGGACAGCAAGGATGGGGAGGGCACA